CCTCCTGCGTCCTTCCACTCAGCACCAGTGGGACCCGTCTGCGCATGCTCCATTAAAGCCGGCACACTCATCAGGATATGTATGTATTTATACACCTTAGAGTATTCACAAATGCATGTCCCTAGAGTGTGTGCACACGCGCGCACATATGTAGACATGCACATCCATGTGCACGTATTGATCTCATTGTATATTCATAAACAATTGCGTCTAGATATAAACATGAACTCTGTATTATGTGGTATATAGATAATTCTAACTAAAATGACACTTTTACCACTGAGATAGAAGGGGAAGGATACACACATATATATCTCTCTCTATATATTCACAGTGCACACACACATATATATACCCACAGTGTACACACAAAAATATATTCACAGTGTACACACACATATTCACAGTGTGCACACACATATATTCACAGTGTACACACACACACTTCCATCACGGGCTGGAAGGGGCGGTCTCCATACCCCTCTGTGGTCCTTCAAGGTGAATTCATTCTCCCTCCTGAGGGGCTCTGGGGCTTTACAGCAAAGACTCTACTCTGAGTGGAGGCTGTTGGCCTTGCTGCTGTGCCCAGCTCTCTTCAGACACTGGATACCTCGATGGACAGGACACTCTCAGCCTTGCTCATGGGGCCCTGGACAGGGTGCTGACCCATGTCCTGGCTGAGAGTTGATTTCCTGAACTTGTTCTGTGGTGGAGTCTGGAACTGAACATGAGGCAGTCCTGCAATGGAGCCCCTGCACAGGTGAGGCCCAGCCTCCTTTCCCAAGGGGAGCCCTCCATGAGCAGCCTGGATGGAGCCCCAACAAACACAGGGACCAGGGATGCCCAATCCTGCATGGTACCCACGGGACTCCTCAGAGAGCGGTCAGCTTAGTGAGCATGTCAAACAGGAACAACGGGAACTCGAGCACCTGTGACCAACACTGACCGTCTCAGAGCACTGCAGAGTTCTGTTTGTGAAAACGGGAATGAGATGTGACCATATTGACAGCACAGATTCCTGAGGGAGGCTGTGCAGACCCTGAGTCCATCCACCAATGGTTCCCCTGGGCTCCGAGTTCAGTGAGGTCACACACAGCCCCATATGTCAGAGGGCTGCTTCCCTCCACTTCTCTCTCATTGGGTCACGTCTTGAGCTAACAAGCACCTGCTTCATCAATATGCAAACAAGCAGCATCTGCGGTGGACAATATAGACAACTGCTTCCCAGAGCAAACTGCCCTCGCCTCTCCTGTGACACCCAGAGCTCAGAGCCCACTATGCACCTGAACTGGAGCTTCCTCTTCTTAGTTGCTGCAGCTACAGGTGAGTGCGGGCCAGGACAAGCCCCAAGGGTCCAGACCCTCACCAGAGAGTTCACACCTCCCTCTCATCTGCAGGTGTCCACTCCCAGATCAAACTGGAGCAGCCTGGGGCTGAAGTGAGGACGACTGGAGACTCGGCCAAACTGGCTTGCCAGGCCTCTGGATACACCTTCACCAGCTATTATATGCACTGGGTGAGGCAGAAGGCAGTACAGGGGCTTGAGTGGATTGGAAGGATTGACCCTGAAGATGGTGAGACCAAATATGCTCAGAAGTTCCAGGGCAAGGTCTCCCTGACTGCAGACACCTACCTCCTCCAGCACAGCATCCCTGGAGCTGAGCAGACTGACAGCAGAAGACTCGGCCATGTACTACTGTGCGAGGCAGTGTGCACACCCACATCCTGAGTGTGTCAGAAACCTGAGGCAAGGCAGCTGCCTGGGGCTGTGTGGAGAAGGCTGATTCCCTGAGCACTGCTTAGAACACACAGATGATTCTGAGCCGAGGGCTGCAGACCCAAGCCCATGCTGAGTGTGGGAAAGGTTCCACCCATCCCATTCTCAGAAAACACAGACAGCAAGGGGTTCCCAGTGAATAAAGCCAGGGCAAACACTCCCAGCTAATAGTCATGTGAACACGTTTCCCAGTCAACTGATCCCCTGTCTACAGAGCTTTTAGCATAAATGGATGCTCTAATTTTTCAAGGGTTTTTTCTGCATCAAGATGATCATGTTTTTGTTCCAGATATACATAGGTATACAAAGCTGTGTAGATATGCACACATGTAGATGTGTGTAGAATAAATGTATTCCACGTATGTTTCATATGTGAATATATGTTGCTCAAATGTGTACTCTATAACTTCACACATTTATATACATATACAAATCTAATTTGCTTTTATGTAGTTTCTGTCTATATGTACATGGTCATATGTAAATCTGCAATGCACAGTTATGTACACAAACACAGAGATTTATCGACCCTCTTATCACTGGAATATGAGGGGAGTTTTCATATTCCCTGCACTGTCCATCACTTGGGAATACATCTAGAACCTGAAAGTCTGTTTCCTCTCATTCAGGTCCTGTGAACCTAACTAACCAGACAAGGTAGTACGGGCTCATCAAACACCTACTCCACAGGGAATATTCACCCAGGACCTCTTCACCTCCTCTTACACGTTCACTTCACATAGGACGTCTTCTCTTCCCTTGCACATTCACTTCACACAGGACCATTTTTCTTCCTTATACAATCACATAAAGGGAACAACCCCCTTGCAAATATCAAACGACAATAATTCACAAACCATATTTGTTTAAATTCAGGTTAATCCTCATTGTAATATTTCTGCTTGTAGAGAAACTATGCTGCTGCTACAATATGAAACATTGCTCACACATTAAGTCTAATTCTTGTGAAATACCCACAAAATCGGTGCCATTTTTATTTAGCAGAATGTACAGACCAGGTGGTGTTCATGACAAAATGCAGAGGCTAGATCAGAGAATTACGCAGGTTCCCAGGCCTACCCATGCACAGACTTCCCCAGAACCTAGAGCCTGCTGTGGAATGGAGTACATGGACCTACATGGATGTACCGTGTCCTCCTACAGTCCTGGTGACCTTATCTGTGGTCATAAATGAATTGCAGTAAATGGAGTTACATGGGTGTACCAACACCACAAACAGTCCTGTGAGTTATCCAGGTCATGAATGGACCAACAGCCATGCACCTCCATCTCACAGTCCTATCATGGTGCTGTGCTCTGTTACATTAGGAAAATCGGTGAAAATGATGGTCATGGAAACTTGCTGCACTTGAGAACCTCCATGATTTCCTGTCACGTGAACTCCCAAGTGTCCACAGTGACTGGGTTGTGTGGGACCTGGTGGAATTCTTCCTTAGGAAAAATAAGA